CCACCACCGCCGCCACCGCCGCCGCCGCCGCCGCCGCCGCCGCCGCCGGCCTTCCGCGGGCCGGGAAGCAAACTCGGACAATCAGCGCGAGCGGAGTGGAAAGTTGCGCGGAATCTTTCACTTTCGATTGGCCAGTTAGCGAACTATCTTCCCCTCTGCATAGTGATGAGGTTCAATGCATCCGAAAGTTACTTGGAGACCTGTTTCAGGAACGTGAAAATAGTTTGTATTTACATTTATATTTGTATTCGAGTTCTTACAGCTCATAGAGATGGTACATGGTGACTCCATAAAAGGCGTGTTGATTTGTACTGATATATTGATAAAACGGGACGATTGGCCGTTATTCATATTAATTTTCAAATTCCTGTAACGAAATGATGTACATAAATGTCGCATGACTACTATTTTCATGCAGAAAAGGAAGTTCAAGACGAAAATGTATATAAACTAAATTCCAGGGGATTGTGTACAACCTCGTAATATAATTTTGTTCACATCTCTCATTACGAAAAATATGGTAAGAAATGTTGAGGGCGTAAAATATTTTTCCTCAAAATTCACTTCGAGGGATTGTTGACGTAAGAAAATGTAAAGCATGCCTTCTCTAAAATAATGGGACAACTGTTGTATTTATTTGCTGTCTTTCATAGTATGCTTCACGGTTTATTTGGAAATACGAATGAAAAATATTTTCTGACAAGTAGAGGTAAATTATTTTCGACCGCAATAGAATTAATTCAAATGTCTTCCTTACAAGAGTTTACCATATCAAAAGTTTTTTACAAATTATACTTTCTTTCTCTGCGTATTTATTTCGTTTTTTTTGCAATATATTACCATTCTTTTTAATTCATACTTCATTCACACACATGCACTACACTACTATTTTAGAAGTAAATGGAAACTAAGACTGCAAAATAATGAAAAGAATTTACGACTACGTTTTTCATTAGAAGTTTTACGAGAATCATATGAGACTGTATAATGCAAAGGTACCGGTATATTGGCAAGTGGGAATCGGCAATTTGCATGATATGTTACTAATTGGCAAGATATGTTAGAAATTCACTATTGGCAAAATGCTCCATTTTTACTATTTCAGGTGAGAGTCATTACATTTTTTTAGTGCATAAAATGAACCAAGAGTGAATAGCTATCGAATTGGTCTTATTGAGGAACGATTCCTTGCATTGCCGCCGTGATATCGGCAACGTGAAGGGGGCGGGGCGTCGCGAGGGGCGCGAGGCCCGGGCGCGGGCGCCCTTACCTTCGGCCGGGTCCAACCGCTTGGCCCGTCGCCCGTGCTTGGAGTTGTTGTGCACGAACATGTTGTCCGAGATGGCCAGCAACGGGCCGTCCACGCCCACTTGCGTCGAGATCACCACCTGCGAACCAACACATGCACTCAAGATGTTAAATGTGACATTTATGTACTCATCCACTTAATTATTGTTCTACCTTGTCTCATAACCATCTGTTACAAGTTCATTCCATCTAAAATCAATAGAAATTGAGCCAAGTTTACTACGTCCATTGTCCAAGTTTACTACGTTAAAAAATGTATGATCTTAAACAAAATAAATGTGGAAACAAAATTTGACAATAAAAGCTGATGTAAGAAGCACATTGAAAGGCAAAATATGTCGAACCAAGACAATAAGTTGAAAGAAAAAAGATGTGGCAAGCGTCTGGGATTATGGGGAGGAATGACATTTGGTTAGGGGGTTATATATCTTGAATAGATTATATTTAAATGTGAAATATCATTCTTTATTTATAATGGAGAACGACAGTTTGTAAGGGATTCAGATGTATAATGGCTTATAATAAAACGACAAAAAATCTCAAATTAAACACATTTTTTAAAATTTTCATCGTGAGTACTAAGTTTAAAAAATTATTCTCAATTGACGTAACTGGTCTATAAAAATTCACATTCTTGAGGTACTATAAATATTAATGTAACAATAAATAATAAATGTGCCAAATATGTCAAACTACGCCAACTTGGAGATTGTTTTATAAATGTTGACGTGATATTAGGTCAGAAACAACTACTATAAATTAAATTATATACCACGTAAAAATATATTAATTAAAATTCAGTGTCATTAAATGCATTTAACAGACAAAATTGTAAAAAAGATATTTTAAATACACATCTTCATTCAAGAAATCCAAAGACACTTGTTGCAAAATATTGTCTGTTGATAATAACAGCAACGAAACTATAAAGAAATCGATTTTTAATTAAAGATCACCAAATGGCAAAGACATGAATAGTGTTTCACTTTTCAAAGAGGTGAAAGTATATCTTAGCTCCTTGCTTTGTGACTTGATAATATTAATTGTTCTCCTATATAATTTTAACGTTTACAATAGCTTTGAAATGCTAAATTGAAATGCTATTCAATGAAATATAATTTTTATTAAAGAAAATTAATAGTTCTGATAGTTTTAATTGAAAGTGAACTATTGAAAGCTTTGCAACTCTGCCAGAAGTGCACATTTTTCCAAAATAGTTGTATTTTCTTTAATCGGATGACTTCTCTATAGCCAACGAGAATCATAGTCAACATAAAACATTATCATCTGAGTTAATTAGAAATGGTAATCGATTGCTTTTATCTAGCCATATCGAAATCTAATTATTAAGCTTTTAGTGAAAATTGATGCATTGTAAGATCATGGTTAAATTTAGAATTCTCCAGGATATACAAACATTCTTAAAATATTTTGATGCAACTTCCTATCTGGTTCCTACAGATTTAGGGATTTTGCTTTAGAGTACAGTTTATGTAATTCCAAGGTTCAATTATTGAGCCAAGTTCAGATAAACTTTGGCCAATAACTGAATCATTTCATTAATGATTATGTAGACACGAACAAATAATTTCTTTTATAATTCAAGACTAACCACCTAATGTTCAACGAATTTATTGGCACTTTAAAGGAGAAAAATAGTTTTCCTCTAGCAAAATGCCCGTACGGGTTAATAAAAAAATGTAGACTCGTTAGAACGACCAGAGGAAGAATCATTGATTATTTGTCGTGTGTTGGTTCTTGAGTGATAGTAATTTTATAATTGATTAAAAATCTGCATGTTCTTAAGATTAACTATGATGTTTAATGAAAAATTACCACGCCTCAATCTAACATTAAACTTTGTCTTAAAAAATCTCTGCAGACACATAGCCATTCCTAATATGATAGTTAATTTTAAAAATAGTCTAAACTCAAGAACATGCCCATAAAGAATAAGAGTTCTGCAAATCTCCTACTTCGATGATATCTTTAAAGATTATTTCAAGTTCGTACAGATTCCTTTACTATATCTGCCAGTATGATCATCACCGTAATTCCTTTCGCCTCGTACGCCCTCCGCCTGGGCGCGCCCGTGTTTACATTCGGAAAGCATCTTCCACGCGTCTGCTCGCACGAAGCCGCTTGGCATGTGCAAACGAGCCCTTCAGCTAAGTAGGGCTCCATCGCCGAGCGGAGCGGCCGACGGGCAGAAAATCGAAGGAGGCTCGTTAGGGACAATCGCGCGGGGCTCTGCACGCGCCACCTGCGCGGCACGCGAACGCCGCCACTGCCGCCCTAGCCGACCTCGCCGCTATCGCCACAACCACCGCCTCCGTCACTCTCACAGCCACCAGCCACCGCTAGAACCGCCGCTCTCACCTCAACCGCCACCATCCCCTCTCTGACCGCCACCACATCGCCGCCGCCACAACCAGCATCACTACTAACATCATCACCACTCCCGGTGCCACCAACACCCAACATCGCCAACATTACAACCACCCCCGTCCCCGCCACCACTCCCGCAACCAGCAGAGCTTCCACCATCACAGTCGCTACCACCACCACCACCACTGGCGTTGCTGCCACCGCCTGCGCGGGCCCGCCGCCCATCGTCCATCGCCCACGGCTGGCCCGCCGGCCGACACGGGGGCGTGGCCCGGTGGCGCTCCGTCGCGCGCTGACGCACCGCCGTCGCAGCCGCCACCGCCCATTTCATTTGCGGCGCGTGGCCCGCTATCTCGCGCCCGCAAGATGTGCAGATTACTTTCAAGTGCGCGCCTCATTTGTCGGAGGCGGGGCCGCGGCGACGGTCGGGGACGCCGACGGCAGCGGAGGGAGGGGACGGGCGCCGGAGGCGGAGGACGCGCGCGGGGGCGGGTCCGGCGTCGTGCGCGGCAGCCGCCGACGCGTCACGCGGACGCCGCCTAATCGCCGAGATAATCCCGTAATTATATGCGATTTATGAGCAGCCTCGTTTTAAATTCATTTCACAAATTGGAAGGAAACGGTACAACCACACCCACCGGAGGCGACGGACCCCCCGTGGAGACTTCGGGCTCAGCCCCCTTGTCAGGGGGCCGTCTTGTTTATTGTATGGAAATGGCACCTCATGAAGGGAGGCTTATAGGAAGCAGTATGAAAATGCAAGCAGAATTCTGAATACTACTACTTACATAGTATGAAAATCTAGATTAAGAATTATACCCTTCCATCAATCATGTTAACGCAATATTTCATTACTTTCTTTAGTAGTCTATTGCACGTAGTTCTGTATATCGTAAGAAACATGTTTGATCGATACCTTTTATTGAAACATTTTGAGTTAGTTTCATGCATCACGCATACATTCTGAGTCAATATAGGAGTGGATTAGAGTGTAAAGTTAAGTTTTATATTGATATCAATGTTATCGTTCCTTTTATATTAAACAGTTTGGTAGTGTGACTGATCCGTTATTCGTGGTGATGTTACGCAATGTCACTTCAAGAAGTCCGTCAGTTCTATGCCTCTTGCTTCAAAACTGCTAAAGTTTGTAACTTAGAAAAAATTGTTGGATCTGAAAATGTTAGAAAATTCGTCAAAGTATAACAGTTGTCTCTCTCCAATGTCTGTCAAAAGATTAACGAAAAATAGCGAAATAAAATAGCATAATATTAAAGAATAATTTTATATTGTTTTTATATTAAAAACTTATTTACCTTTGATAATTCATACATTTATAATTTATTTTTGTTCACTTGTCAAATCAACAATGTTCCCACATTGCCATCTCTACAAATTTAGCTAGTAGGTATATTTAGAGCGATTACGTCGAAATTATTGATGAGGCATTTTTTACATGGATGACATTTGTGTGTTTTGCACTAAAATAGTTAAAATTTATAGTTAACTAAAATTAATATTAACAGTTAGTTAAATTGTATAGTTAAATTTTTCTGATTTGATTCGTTTAGTGAATATTTTAAAACATAGATATTAAGTTAATGAATTTACATGAAAGTAACATTTAAATATGTAATCAAGAAGAACTATTAACAATAGTGGAATAACAAAATAAATTTCCAATCCGTGCAGTAATTTAAAGGAAACTGCGCACCCGACAACCATATGAGATACACCGGCGGTACCCAGGAACACGGGAAAATGTAAAAAACATCTATATCACTAATTGCTCCTGCACACAGAAATTGAGAGAACACCATATAGCCTCCGGTGTTATGTTAGAGGTGTCTGTAGTATTGTTAGATACTTAGTAACAGTAGAAAAGTACAAAAAATGAAAGTTTCCATTTATACTGACAAAAAGAAATATTTGATTGAGTTTTTGCGCCAAATCCTAAATCGAGTTTCCCAACTGAATTCTGCTTACGACGCCCCACTGCTTACGACGCAGCTAATGTCTTGCGAAATGGCTCCATGGAAGAGGCCGCGAGCCATTAAACATTTCCTGTTCACATGTTGCGTTAGAGACCAGCAAAGATTTTTAGACTATTGTTATGTAAGGAATTGTTATCCTGTTTACTAAACCATGTAACTGCTGTATTTGTGAAGCCTTTTTGTGAAAACATTTTATTGTAATTGATTGCGGTGTTTAACGAGAGTGTTTTATTTGTCGTTCTCCAGCAGTTTGCGTGCTTCTTTTTGGAAAACCTGTTTTAGTGTTTTTGTTCTGCAGCACTTTTGCTGCTGCAAGGGCACTAGTTTACTCTTATTAAGAATTTATTTCGGTTAGATATTTTACGTATTAAATTATTAGATCCCGATTAAATTACTTCATAAATGAATAAAATTACATTATTTACATTAAATATATTTAAATATATGTGGCTTGTTATTTAAATTTGGATGTATTTGATGGCTTTTCTGTGCATGCTTTATGCATACGTATAACATAAAAGTATGCTGCGCATAAGTGGAAACGGTATTCTTGTACATGTTATTTGGAAGAATTTCACATTTATAATTAATTAGTCAGCAGAAGATTACCATCAATAAAGTGTAATATCTATCATGTAACTAAACATTAACAATCAATCAATTTTCACAAAAATCGGTGTTTCCCTCAGAATGTATTGTAA